CCCTACCTCTCCAGAGTATATAAGGAGAGGCAGGGGTCCCCTAGTGGACACGATCCATACATCTCATATTCAATACAATACACCAAAGATACAGGACGTAGGGTATTACGTCGATTAAACGGCCCAAACCTGTCTAAATCGTTGTCTCTGCGTCTTGTGTCACCATCCGGTTTCTGATTACGCGACGCCCCAGCGACAAATCTACCATCGCGGGATACCCCTCGGTGGACTGCCGAGCATCTTTTGTCAACACAGTCTCTTAATTATTGTTGTCTCCCTCGCTCACTCCTCTCCTCCTCTCTCTTTGTTCATTTCGAGACCACCAACCTCTAACTTCCAACATCATAATATGTGTGGGACTGAAACTACTATATGTGAAACATCCATATAGTACGAATAACCCTGAGGTGCGGGGCCACCTTGACTTCGACTGGGACGTGTTTGTGATGACGTCCTCGGCGCTCGTTATGCTTTTCTCGCTCGTGTCGCTGCTGCTGTCTCACCTTGGCGTTTATTATCACGACGGCTGGCCAGGCCTCAACCAGTGGCTGCGTTAGTTAGTTTATTAATTTGGCATGGATAGGCAAAGTGATCATAGATCAGTTGGTTAGGTTTGTTGTGGTGGATTCTGCCTACCCGGGTTCAAGTCCTTCACTTGGCACGTGTGCTCGTATTTTCCTGGATTTATTCCAGTATTTAACAGCGCTATGCTTTCAGTGGTAGGCGACGTCGGAGGTGCTTATAAGGGTAGGGTTTGCGTACGTGTGTTCATATGGGTAATTGTGCATGCATGTTGTGGGTGTCTACGTTGTACTGTGTAATTCTAAAAAAATTGGCATGGATAGGATAATATAATGTGTGTCATTTTAGGTGAACAAGTATACACATGTAGTAGTAGGTCTCCATCCGTGATATGATACATATGCATGCAATCAACAAGGTGATGTTTGGTTTGACGATTTAAGCCTTTCATCCGTATACGTGATATGATACATATGCATGCAATCAACAAGGTGCTGTTTGGTTTCACGATTTAAGCCCATCATCCGTAAAATTTGGCATCGATAGGATAATATAATGTGTGTCATTTTAGGTGAACAAGTATACACATGTAGTAGGTCTTCATCCGTTATATGATACTTATGCATGCAATCAACAAGGTGCTGTTTGGTTTGACGATTTAAGGTCATCATCTGTTCACAGTATGAATGTATTTCCCAATTCACAGTTTACCAACCACCACTTCAAATTAATCCATACAGCGTCTAGAACAGCAATGAGTACAACAAACACAACGACGCATCAATGTGCTGTTTGGTTTGACGATTTAAGCCCATCATACGTTCACAGTATGAATGTATTTACCAATTCAAAGTTTACCAACCACCACTTCAAATTAATCCATTCAGTGTCTAGAACAGCAATGAGTACAACAAACACGATGGCACATCCAATCTTGTATGCTGCAAATTAATCCATACAGCGTCTAGGACTGCAATGAGTACAACAAACCCGACAGCGCATCCAATCTTGTATGCTGCAATGAGTACAACAAACACTGTATGCTGGAGAACCAAACAGTGTGCATAACGCACCGGTAAACAGGCTCAGAGCTATCGTAACAGCTACAAGTGCTGCAAACCTTGCATAACGAGTCGTTCCTGTAGTGTATGCCGGAGAACCAAACAATGTGCATAACGCACCGGTAAACAGGCTCAGAGCTATCGTAACAGCTACAAGTGCTGCAAACCTTGCATAACGAGTCGTTCCTGTAGTTGTGCCAAGAGAGGTGGCAGCCGGCCCAGATGCTATGGCAAATACTCCCAGAGTAACTCCAACAAAACACACATAGCTTCACGATATCCGATGAGACCTTGATCAAGTTGTAGATCGCAACGGATGCCGGAAAAGACCCTCCAAAGTCCAAACATTGGCCCAAGTAACACCGTGTACCTGCTAGGCTGTAAGAAATGAAATCATATCTATCTATACCTAATAATAGATTGGCAAAATTTCCGCTGTATTTTTTTTTCTGCCACTTCCACCCCCAATCACCGGCTCGGTCTCGGTCTCGTTGCCAACAGAGATTAGGAGTAGGGAAGAGAACAGAAAGAAATATGGGGTTCCAGATGTAAAGATACTAGAGAGAAAGAAAAGGTGGGAGGGCCCTAATTATTTTTCAAATATATCAGGGTTTCCTGATGCAAAATATCCAGATCCAAGTGGGCCTCTCTTGATGGGCTTTTTTTCGACCTAGGTTGAATCCTTGCAGTTGGGCCGGCTTCGTTGTGGGCTGGACCAAGCCCATGCAAGCCTTTTTCCTTTTCTTTTGTTTTTTCTCTTTTTCTATAAAAACAGAGATATTGCAAAATTCGCCAAAATCATAGAAAAAATATAAAAATGCCAAACCGGTTTTGCGACAACTAAATATTTCATGAATCGGAAACTTCGCAGATTATTATCTAATGAAATCTATACAAATGTATTTATGTAATTCCTGACGAGGACCGCCGTCTGAAAATTCAAGAGAGGTCTCGATCACTAGTGGACAGACAAATCCTTGGCACATTGACAACAAAAATTACGGAGGTTGATATGATGCGTCAAAAAAGCTATAAAGGTTGATATTGAGTCATTAGAAACACATGGATATTATGAAAAATTAAAGTTATGATATACTTATAGCTAAATAATTATGTGCTTTGCAATGAAAGAAAAAATATACCAATGTGTATTTCAATTTGATACAGGTTTAGTAAGACATTGTTATTTATTGTTAGCATTAACTTATATTATGGATGTCACGGTCATCATAAAATAAATTATAAAAGGATAAAACATAAGTAGATATGTACCATTCACGTCATCGTTTTGCATGAATGGTTGATAGTTTTTTTTCACCTGTTGCAACGCACGGGCATATTTGTTATAATACTAATGATGTAAAATTTCTACCATCAATAATTTTTTCGTCCAACTTTCTATATGTCCTGTCACCTTCGGTAATCTTTTTTCTGTCCATATTTGTTTTCCTTGTTCGTTCGGGGCTTGCTAGTTGCAGGATTTTTTGTCTGGCTTTTCTAGCAGAATTTCATCTAGGATGCAGGGTTCTGGACGCTGACGAGGCTGTGCGCGGTGGAGTCCGTTTGGTACTCGATGATGGAGTTCAATTGCAAGCAGCTTTGTTTAATTGCCAATAATGCTGATTTGACCATACACGGTTCAGATGAACGAGAGCACCAAGTAGCATGTACGTGGCGGCCTTGGCTGGGATTCCATCGAGCCCGACTATGGTTTATAGAAAATGGATATGGCCGGTTTGACTCACGAGATCCTAGATTTTGGACTCTTCTACTCAGGAAGTCGAGCCACCCTATAAATACACAATCAAATCTATCAAATATATTTACTATTATTTTTCACCATGTCTTCGAATTTACCATTGCTTCTCGTTTGTTGTTGACAATACTTCAACGATGGCAAAGCCCTAGAGCGGTTACATCAACTAGAGCAGCCCATAGCCGCCGCACATCTTGACGGGATCCCTCTCGGGCGTGTGGTGTTTCGGGTCTCAAGAGACCTCAGCGGTGTATTGTGTATCGTGCTCCCGGCGAGGTTCCTCCGGCGATGCGTCCTACTCCTACGTATCGCGCTCATCACCGAGGGCACACGGTGACGTGTGCATGTGCGAACAATATCTTCAGTCTGTTTCTTTTGTGTCCGTTTCATGATTTTTTTTCTGTTAACTTTCCTTTTCCTAATTATCTCCAGTTTTTTTATCTATATATATCTATATCTATATTTGTTATTTTATATATCATCTATACCTTATCTATATACTCTATATTAAGGAAAATTTCTCTCTATTCACTATTTTATTTTTTATATATCTATAGCTACACCTTATCTCTATAAAATTTCTCTTCATCCATTTGTTTCGTCCCACCTCCTCTAATTACTCGGACAAATGGATAGTTTCCTTCGAATCACATATGTGACCCTAACTCATGTCCATATTCATACGAGTTAGGACTCATATCTAACGTTGATGCGGATTTCGATTCTAATAATATTGGGTCGCACCCTACGTATCTTGTACATGAACCGGACTCATGAACTACATTCATACGAGTTAGAACAACTCACAAGATACGGAGTTCTATTCCTATGCGTATTGGGTTCCATTGCAACGAACTCGTATGTTTGCACGTATCGAATCTCATTGCAATGCACAGGCACGTTTGCTAGTACCTAATAATAAAAATGCAAAATTTTGTCGTATTTTTTTCTACCTCCCCAAAAATTTCGTGCCCCTGGAGGGATTTGAACCATGGTTTCTAACCTCAAAATCTGAAGGACTTACCACCACAGTATACATGCTCATGTGAAGGTTCATGAAGTTTCTTTCATTTAGCGGTGCCCACCTTCAAATATATGACAACCCTGTTATGGTTGGTAAGACAATAAATAAATCAAACTAGAAAATATGGTATTGCTTGCATATATTATATGTAGTAATGTTGACATATGTTCACAGTTGTTCATTCCCCTTACCCAAACAACAGTTTCTAGTAGAGAACTAAACAGTGTGCGTAATGCAGTAGTAAACAGGATCAAAACTATAGTGACCGCTGCAAGTGTAGCGAACCTTGCATAACAATCTGACCCTACAGTTCTGTCAAGATAAGTCGTTGCCAATCCAGACATGTATCACTGCATCTGGGCTCGTGCAGTGACAGGATACACAACTATCAGGAGTTAAGATGTTCAGAAGTGAATTTGCTAGCATTAGGTCTTATCTGTTCCTTGGCAACATACAGTCCTTTTCGTGGATTACAACTAACACAATTAGGAGCAATGCCAAAGTTATTTACAAGAGATAACTGTTGGAGTTGTGCTGGGTTAATAGAAACTAGATGTACAATAGTGGTTCACTTATTTGTGAAATCATCCTTTCAGTTCAAGAACAGCTATCGAAAGACCAAGATGAGATTGGCGTATTACCTGAACTCCAAATGAGCAATCTGCATGCCGGACCCAATGTTTTCCTTCTTGGGAATGACCTGGAGCACGATAGGTCCTTCAGCTGGTTGTGTGAATTGAAGGGCGCATGCCAGATAGTCTGCTAGGACCTGCTGAAGCCTTAAATTGTCCCCGTAAAGGTACATGCGCGATACTTCCACAGGCCAATCACGTTCAATAGAAATCCGTTTTTCCTTGCCCAAAGGAATGCCTTGCATTAGGACCGTATTCAGAGCTTCCTCAAGGTTGAACTCTACTGTGTTCATCTCCATATAGCTGTGACAACAAGAATTTGTTTCTCAATAGTCAAAAAAATTTGTCATGCATGTAAACTGAACTGGTCAGCCTTGTTGTATGCATACATCTTTAGCACTACAAAGCATTAGTACAATGAACAAAAATTTCATGTCTGAGCAATTCTAATCATCATGTGAATATGAAAGCAAGTATATCTTTATGTATAGTGTATGCTGTTTCATAGATCCCTTCTAGAGTAGTTGGCAAGGAGGACACTCGGCCCCCGCGTCGCTCTCCAGGAGGGCGGCTCGGGCGGCGACCCTTCCCTCGCTTGCCTTTCTTCCCCACGCCTTCACCTTTGGCACGGTTGCCGGAGCTCGACGACGGAGATGGCCGAGAGCAAGGAAGGCGGCGGCTGGGACTTCTCTCCTCCTCTCCTCTCTCTCTCTCTCTCTCTCTCCCAGAGGAGCTCCGTGCACAGCTGCCGGCAGCCGGTCCCTCGCGCGCGGCTGCCATGCTGATCCGGCGCCCGTCCGGATCTACGACGGGAGGGCAAGTGCTTACAGCAGCGCCATACAGCGGCCGGGCGGCGCCAGCGGAGATAACTTCACCAGGTTCAAGACGCCGCCGCTTGCCGGGCAAGCGGCCTGCCGGCCAGCCCACTCGCGCCCGGCCCATGGTGGCGGATGTCGTTCCCCAATGCCGATCCGGTCCCTCTCGCGCTTCGATCTACGGCGTAGGGCGGCTGACGGGCCTTTTCGGCGGCAGCTGCTCGACGGCGGTCCTTGCCCGCAAGGTCTCACGGTGGTATGGCGGTGGTCTGACGAATGACATACGACGGGTGAGAGCATTGGATCCGCGCCACGCCACATCCGGCCATCCGGGGGGCGGCGCGCCCGTGGTGGGGCATGCGCCTGACGGTGGCTGGCGGAGGTCGGCAGCGTCGACGACGGGTGCTTGGGCGGCGGCGGTAGGCTGGCGGGGCTTCGCATGCGGCAGGTGACGCGCGCGTGATGTGGTAAGTCCATTCGCATGTTGCCCGATCGGAGGGGGGTGGCGGCCGACGCGCGGTGTGTGCGGCGCCGCTTGTGTGGTGCGGCCGGCGATCGATGCCCTCCGAGAAGCTTACGTGGGATGGCAAACGACGCACGGTGGTGATAAGCTACGGTCCAAAGATCTTGGCTCGACGATGTGCTAGGGGCACCTCGGGCGAAAAGTTTGGCGACGGCGACGCCTATGGGCGCTTTTTTCCTTGTTGGGGCGCGTGTTCTTGTGCCTGACCATGTCTTCCACGGTGAAAACCCGGTCCTTTCTGGACAAGCGACGGCGACGATCCGCGTCGACCCTTCCCTCCCGGCGTCGCCGCTGTGGAAATTCGTCTCGGCCGTGATGTCTCCTTCGGCGGATGCCCTCCGCCTCTCGGCGCCCGGTTGATGCGAGACGGCGAGTTCTGCATCGCGAAGTCGGAGCTGCTGCATCAGGGGATGTAGCTCGGCAACGATGACGCGTGTCCAACCCTCCTTCTCCAACGGTTGGGTTTTCAGCTTTAGAGGTTTCGGCAATCGCCACGCAGGCGGGCGTGGGATCATGGCGAGGAAGTCGGAGCTGCTCTTCGCGGGGCCGTTTTCGGCAACGATGACCTGCTGCAGCTTCATCGCTTCAGGCCCGTTGGTCCGACATCTTATGATGGGTTGTCGGTGTTTTGCCATGGGAAGTCGGAGCTGCTAGCTGCTCTGCAACTATACTCAGCAACGATGACTCATGGTAGTGTGTACTCTGTCGCGTTGCGTGGGTGGGTAACCTTTCGTGGTGTTTGGCACCATGCTTGGCTACCTTTTGCTTGTATATAAACTTCATTCGTCTTAATTGAAAGGCAGAGCTCCTGCCATCGTTTCAAAAAAAAAAATAGATCCCTTCTAGAATTGCCACAAAAACAATGCAAATAATCTAATCAACATTACTACTGATGATTCGGACAATACAGAACTTACTGTTGGACAGGTAAGGACCACAATTGGGGAATTGGGATTGGGAATTGGTTTAGATGGCAGCAATAACACTGGCTGCTTGTAGTTCCATATATAGGCAATAGCAGTACTTGATACAGCAAAAGCATAACAAACCCAACAACTAAAGGGCATATTCTAACCACTAAAGTGCCTAGAAGATAAGATGCTGGAATCAGCTTTAACAAAGTAAAGGGCTTCCCCAACGCCAGTGGCTTCAGCAGTGGCTTTAAGGTCCAGCTAGGATGCTATTTTGTACAAAAAGTAGGTGCTCTATACGTGTCATAGTCGCCTACATAAGCTACATATGCTTAGGAGAGAGAAGGTGGTTCATGCAAGAAAAGAAGAGGGAGAGAGAGTGATAAAAGTGACACATGGTGAAGGAAAAAAACAAGGTGGAGGCCACCGGTAGAAAAGACATGGTGGTTTGCATTGTGTAAATAGTAGCCTTAATATCTCCTAATCTACATGGATCACTTTAATTGTACTAGGACCACTAGCAGTGTTAGCCTGCATTGCTCATGCTCTAACTAGAGAGAAGCACATAGGCTTATACTCTCACTTACCACTGTTCAATGCTTTCAAGATCGGTGTCATGTAAAATCTTTTTCAGCTGGTCCTGACAGAGAATATTAGATGAAAGAAGTTGCCTCTGTTCCTCTGTCAATTCGGAAGGCTCCAATAAGTTGCAAGTAAATTGCATACCATTGAGCGGGTTCCTTAATTCTTGATGAATGTAAGTTAATTCCTTAAAGCTATTTGTGGCAGCTTGTTCGGACATTTTCTGCACCTGGAGAGCATGTTGAAGCTCTGGGCTGGCCACATGCAGAAAGCAAATAGCGCCAGTGATCTAAACCTCAGCATTTGTCCTCTTGTTCACTGTCAGCAAGCATTCAATATACTTCCCATCTGTGTCGAAGAAACCAAAAAGGAGCTTCTCAGGATCCTGACCAGAAATCACTGCGTTCATCAGTATGCTAAGTTTCATTAGAGTAGCATGATCTTTCACCCTACAGCCATAATCATGAAGGGTGAAGACCTCCCCAATTAAGAACTTATCTATCGCATCTTCCCTCTGTATACCGGTAATCTTCTGCATAGCTTTATTCCACTCTAAGCAGGAACCAAGATCATTGATCATAAATATGGGAGGGATGAGCTCACTGGGGTTCTTTACTATGGCAACATAGTCTCCTTGTATCCTAGTATACTTATCCATAATCATCTTCTGCCTCGTCAAATCTTGTGCTACAAAGCAAACTCCAATGGCTTTCTCTGAAAGGTCCCGACTACAGCAGGAGTTAACCATCAAGATTACTGGACCATTGCATTCCTGTTCATGGAATGCTTTAAGCTTGATTTCCAGATTTTGCTCTTCAATTCCTGAAACAAGGAGGAGGCATTAAGCTGTCATAGAAAAAAAAAATGGACACATTCAGACTAAGCTGGGGACCACAAAAAGATCAACTGAAAGCATAGTGACAAACCTTGTAAAGCTGAGTCCAAAATTTGCTTAACCACTTCAATAGAATCAGCAACAACAAGATCTATCAGAGGCCTCCCTATGGCTTCCATTACAGGTAACCCTGTTAGTTCTGCAGCTTTATGGTTCCATCCATTTATGTTACCGGCAATGTCGACAGCCAAGACAGGGGCAGTTGCTGTCTCAATTAAGCGGACCATCTCGTTTGTAACTGTTCTTAGTTCAAGTAGCCCCTGTATCTTCTTCATATCATCAGATGGAGCTTTTACAATGGACCTTACATTGTTTCTGTTGGTGTCTTCATCTTGCAGGGAGCCACGTAATATTAACTGCAAAGAATGGATAGCATCCATTTCAACATCCTCCCAGGGAACACTTCTCCATTTAACCACCTCCAAGAAGGCCTTGAATGAAGATCGTGGATGCGTCTTCCTGCCATTGTCATCTGCGTCAACCGGTTCATGCTTAGCCCCACCCCGCTTGATCTCCTTTGTTGTGTGCGATCGGAACCAGAAGATAAAATCTTTGGAAGAGATCTTTATAGCCGCCATGCCACACACAACTTCACGAAGTGCAGCAGCACCAGGATAACCTGCTTCCACTAAACTGTCAGTACTCAGCCCAGTTGAACCATCATGATTCTCCTGCAGCCATGTGGAAATGCTCTTTGTCTTTGACTCGGAGGGTGTTGATCCGAGCACCAAAAGCTGGTTCTGGTAATACAATGCAGCTCCATCGCACTTTACCAGATCCATCACATTAGGTGACTGGGTAAATATCCCAACAGGAGCATCCCGCAGGAGCATATCACAAAGAAGGGTTTGCGTTCTGAGGATGTGCCTCTCCTTTGCCTGAGCACCCAATTCCACCTCCTTGTTGAGCTGTATGCCAAATACTTGCAAGAGAAACTCGCAAGCATACCTTAGTGGGAAAGGGATGAACCTCGGGCTTGTATGATGGCAGACGACCAGCCCCCACAGCTTCCTGCCATTCGGTTGTTGGTCACTCCCGGTATCCCCATCTTCCTCCTCATCTTCCTCCTCACCCTCGTTTATAGTGACTGACATCACAAGAGATGCAACAGAACCCATGTTTGCCATGTACTGTGCATGGCAACCATGGGAAGCCCTGAGAGTTTCTCGTAGTCTAACCAGCCTTACTTAGTCGTTTGTTTCCGCAGACCTTGCCACTAGGTTTTTTAGCGTGAGGAAGAGGGTCGGGTGCGGCGACTGTTTCAGAAAGGGTGTATATATGCCCTTATCAGCCCCCGAGTGAGATTCGATCATTTGCCGTTGATGGGTCGGGTGTCACTGAAGATCAAGGAGATAATAGCAAAACTAATAGGAGAAAAGCGTGTCTTGTTTTCGTGCGTACCCCCTCCTTAGGATCTGAGCCATCGTTCGTGCGATCGCGTGTTCGGTCTCCTTGCGAGTCCAACTTTCCTCGAGCCCCCGTGCGTAGCAGGGGTCCGGTCGAGGGTCGGCTCGTCTTTGTGATCGTCGCCCCGTCCACGGTTTCCGCAACCGGAGGGGTTGAACTAACGTCACTTGCCTCGATGGCTCGAGTGACGCGCTCGGTGAGCTAGCTAACGGGCATATTCGAGTGGAATCCGGCTCCGTCATTTGTGACGGGGTCGTCAAAGCCCACGTGGGGCATCCCACTCCTCCTTAACCCGCCTTCCAGCAGATGCCCGAGTCGTTCCAAAGGGCGACTCAGGTGGCCCGATGGCCTCTCGTTAATGGGGATTATGTGGGCTCGGTTGGAGGTTAGAATCGAACGAGAAGGTTGAGATGACCCTGTCTGCTTCTAGGCGGGTCGGGCGAAGGCCGCTGGGGCTCATCTGCATTTTCTCCCCTAACTCTTGTTCGACGCAAGGCAGCCTCGGGCATTCGCGGGCCGGCCTTCGAACCCCGGTCTCCCAATTCCCCATGGGGCTCGGTAGGGGTTGGTCGTGTTTCATGCGTCACTCCGTCCTCGGTTTCCGCAACCGGAGGGGCTGAACTAACGACACTTGTCTCGATGGCTTGAGTGTCACGCTCGGTGAGCTCGCTAACGGGCATGTTCGAGTGGAATCTGGGTCTGTTATCCGTTGACAGGGTCGACAGAGATCTCATGTGGCATTCCACTACTTCTTAACCCGCCTCCTGACAGATGCCCGAGCCGTTCGATATAGTTACACTTTGTAGTTTGAAACAGTAGAAATGGTCCCTGTGTAAAATTGATGCTGTCCCTGCCATTTTTACCTAAACAAGCCCGCAATGACTCCAAGACAGAACCAACGTCCACGTCGCCGTAATTTTTTCGATCGTTGGATCTTGCAATCCGATGGCTTAGGTTGCTCCCGCGATATTCTACCGAATCAGCTTCTGCTCTTGCTTCCGCAAGAATCAACCTACTCTTGCTTCTTGTCAGAATCTGAGCAGCTTCCCTTCTCTTCCAATGTCCAGATACTTCTTTGCCCCTGCCGGTCCATCCGTAAAAAGAAAAAAGAAAAAAAAAAGCTAATCACTCTCTTCTCCCTCGTTCTCCGACGCCCACAGGGGCGACGACGACGGCGCCGGGCGCCAGCGCCGCGCCGCGGCCTCCCTCCCTCCCTCCTCCTCCTCCTCCTCATCCGTCTCCTCCTCCTCTCTCCCCTTCCCTCCCGAGACGGTGGCGGGCGCGTGACGCCGACGCTTGCCTGCAGGCGGCGTGCTGGCGCGGTTGGAGCCCGGCGGCTCCCTTCCTCCCCCCCCATTCTCCGCGAGGACTCCTCACTGCTTCCTCAGATGGGTTTCGTGCGCTCTCCTGTGCCCGACAAAACCCTAGGGTTTGTCTGTACGGCCAGACGGCGTTCAGACGCCGCGCAACCTCCTCGGCGTCCTGTTCTTCATCGCGCCCTTCGCCGACGACGAGTATCCAGGTACGCCGGCCCCTTCGCTTCCCTTCCTGCTGCGCGAAACCGAGCACCCAAACCTTGAACTTCTCTAATTTTTGGATAAGGCAGCTTAGCGCAGAAATTGCGTCATACATGCTCAGCGACTCTTCAATGGCCTTATCTCTCCAGGTACTAACCAATTCGAGCTCTTTTTTCACAAATATTTCAGAGTTCATCTGCAGTATAGATGTGAGCCATTTATGTTTTTGATGATTCAATGAAGCACTATGCTATGGGCTGGTTCTTTGAGATCATGGTTCTGCATATTTGGTTGTTTGTAGCGTAAGAATGGGACAATAGTTGCTTGCGTGTTTGATAAAATGCACACCACGGTTCACATAGCTCCAAGTATTAAGTTCCTGTTTAATTTGGACAGCTTCCAAAAGAGGTCGGTAAACAATTTGTCTGCCACCAAATTTTCCAGTGTACTCTATAGCAGCGAACAATTTCGTATGAAGAATGAAAACCTATAGCATGTGTTTCTAGCCTGATTGGTTGCCCATGAGGATATCTATTAATTAGAATGGACCTGCCATTTTTCCATTCAGGTTGGAACAAGCATGATTACAAGTGGATGCGAAACTGCTGAGAGTAATTGATGAATTTCGTAACAGCAGCTGGGAACCCCATGGGGCACAAATCTTGGTCCTGCGTTGGTCAAAACAAAGGCTGCAAAGAAGGAGCAGGAATACCTACTTACAGCAGCGACAGATTATGCGTAGGTAAAGGTATACAGGCAGCAGCATCTGTTAATGATTTTGAGGCCCTCCTCATCTTTTGCAATAGATATATAGGCTTTGTTGAAAATTTTGAACTAACCCTTTCCTGATTTTCCATAGTCATGGGTTCCAATCTAAGATGTCCCAAATTATTGCTAACTGCAGAGAACGATGGGCTCATACTACCGTCCCTCATGATGAAATGTCTTCCTTGCTCAATTTGCTCTGAATAGCTATTGGATCTCAAAAATTGAAACCTGAATTTTTCATAATGTTTCAAGGTTTGTGCCTGATCTTGTGATCACCCTACCTGATATACATATCTCTATTCTTGTAGTTAAGTGCAGTTGTCTCGTCTATATTTTACTTTGAAGTGTGTTTGCAGATAAACTAAATTAACAAGCCATCTGTCTCATTCTTTATTAGTGTTTATGTTGTTGCGAGCATTTTTCTGCTATGGTAATTTGTATCAAAGAGGGATTAGAAGAACAGTGTGTGAGAAGCCATAGTCGTATTGGTGTCTAATTAGACATCAAACTGGTTTAGATTCTTAAATATTTACAGAAACCAGTGGGAAGTGCATTAACTGAGATAGCTTACAGTTTGCATGTAGTTTGGTAACTATTCAGGTCAGCGTGCAGTGATCTCCAGAAGGTCCAGATGTGTGTACAGAAAGGAATTTTGGGTTGGGTAGTCTTATAGCAGTCCGTTACAGATCAGATGTAAGTTTAGTTCCATATATCCCACGTAAATTCTCAGATTCCAGTCTGACGCTGTATTGCGGACTTTGTTAGTCGCTGAATTCTCACTCTTGGTAGTAGGAGAATTCTTACTCTCATCGAGAGAGGATGACACTAGGAGTTGGGGCAATTTTCTTGTCTATTTCTTACTCAAATGCCATGCCAACCTGAGGGGTTGGGGTTACATATTTATAGGCTGCTAGCCAGCCAAGCATATGCCAAGATGCTAGTCTAAGATGCTAGTCTAAGATGCTAATATGCTGTCCTAGCTAAGATGCTGTCCTCTAGTCTAAGATGTTGTCCTCTAAGATGCTGTCCTCTAGTCTAAGATGCTGTCCTAAAAGCAGAAAACAGCCACAAGGACCATGTGAGCAGTACAGCCCCACAAAGACCACATATGAGACTTATCCATCATTCTCCCCCTAAGTCTTGTGCGTCGTCTTGTGGGAGAGTTGAACCATCCCGGTCCTGGAGCAGAGCTCAAGGAACTTGATCCTCCCAAGGGGCTTGGTGAGCAGGTCCCCAAGCTGGTCCTTGGTGTTGATGTAGCTCGCCTTGATGCTCCCTTCCTCCAAACAGCCTCGGATGAAGTGGTACCTCACCCGGATGTGCTTGCTGCTGCTCAGTGGAACACGGGGTTCTTTTGTTGAGGCAGAGCGGACTTGTTGCCCACCCCGAGCTCCACTGGCTCTAGTGTCTCTCGCCGAGGAGATCACCAAGCAAATGAGCGAGCCAGAGCGCCTGAGTCGAAGCGGTGGAGGCCGCTATGTACTCGGCCTCGCGCGAAATGGACAGGCCACCACTGGCCGCTTGATCGATCGCCAGCCTAACGAGGCACTTACCGAGGAAGAAGAGGATCCCGCCGTGCTTTTGCTTTGGTGTCGATGTCGCCTGGCGTGGTCATTGTCGTCAGACTCGACGAAGTGTGCCGCCCTGTGGCACCTCGGTAGTAGAGGCCGTGGTCGAGAGTCCCCGCAACATAGCGGATGATCCTCTTCATACTTGCTGTGTGCTCGCGTCGTCGGTCGTTGCATGAACCGACTAACGAGCCGACGGAGAATGCCAAGTCCGGCCATGTGTGGGCGAGGTAGCGAAGGCTCCCCACAAGACGCCGCATCACAGAAGGCCCACCTCCTCCGCCGTCAGGTTGTCGCGTTTCACTTCACCTCTCCTCCATCGGAGTGAGAGTTGGGTTGCGCCGGTGAGCCCAATTTAGCTCAACGACGCGCTGGCATGAGGCGGTCCGTCAAGTGTGATCCCGAGTCATTCGGTGCACCTCGATGCCTGTGTAGAAGGGAGAGAGGCCCTGTGTCACTCATCCGGAAGGTGGCATTCATCTCTTCCTTGAATGCCGCCACCTCCGCATCCTTGGTGCCGGTGATCACCAAGTCGTCGACGAGACACCCACCAAAGCAGAAAGCGGTTCCTCCACCGCCCGCCGGTAGATGGTCGCCTCGCGCGGGCTTTGCTCAAGCCCATCCCTTTAGCGTGGAATCCAACTTGGCATTCCACGCTTTCGCGCTCGCCGCAGAAGCCATAGAGGGCCTTGCAGCAGTGAGCACCTGCCCTCCTTGCCGGGATCGCAAATCCCGCGGCCGGTGCACGTGAGACTTTCCTCCTTCAAGTCGCCGTTAAGGAACGCCGACTTGACGCGTCCATGTGATGAACACGCCAGCCCTCCCGGCGCTTAGCTAAGGAGGAGTCGACGGACTCCATCCGTGTAC